TTTTATTCCTCTTTTCCTCGTTGCCCCATTACAGAGCCGTATCTTCTCATTAGATCATGTGCAGCCATCGTTCCATAGGGAGAATTACCAAAAAAGTTCTCCACCTATTGCACTTGTGCTAATTTAATCCTAAACCCTTTTTTTTTTGCCAATTGAGTCATAAACCTTTTGTATTTATGCCAATTCAGTCTATGAGGCCAATTTTGATCGAAAACCACTTACATGGACGTCGGCCATCTTACATGGCGTGACATACACTGACGTGAGTAATTTTTAATAAAATTAAAAATTTTCAATTTTTTATTTTTTTTCCTTTTCTCTTTTCTTTCTTTCTCTTTCTTTTTTTTTTCTTCCCTTCTTCCTTTGGCCAGTCGCCGGACCTCGGCGACTGGCCAGAGGCGAGTGCAAGCCACGCCCGCCCAACCATGGCAAGGCTCCATCTCGCCCAGCGACGGCGGCGAGGTTGAGCCTCACCATGGCTGGGCAAGCCTCGATATGGCTAAGCGAGGTTCGACCTCGTCGTCTAGAGGAAGAAGGGAAGAAAAGGAAAAGAAAGAGAAAGAAAACAAATAAAAAGGAAAAAAAATAGTAAAATATTATTTACATCAGCACCGGCCACGCATGTAGGACAACGACATCCACGTTAGCATTTTCCGACCAAAATTGACTGGATTGACTGAATTGGCACAAATGTAAAAAATTTATGACTCAATTGAAAAAAAAAAAGTTTAGGAATGAATTGACACAATTGCAATAAATTTAGAACTTTTTTGATAATTTTCCCTCATTCCACGTATCATAACAGTCTCAATCTCAGTTTCCATTGACATCACTATAGCTTTTTCCTGAGTTCACTTATTACAATTTTTATCGATTTTGAAAATCTTACACAGAACTGGACATTTTCTTCCCTAACATCATGTGCGCATGTTGGTACTTCACCTACCTTGTTACCATTACATGAATTGTGTCATTCATGCGAAAGTACCAAAAAAGTCATAAACCTATTACATTGATACCGATTCAGTCTTAAACTTTTCAATTTGATCAATTTAGTTCTAAACTTTTTCACATTAGTACCAATTCATTCCATCCGACCAATTTAGGTCGGAAATTACTGACGTAAACATTTTTCATTATAATTTTATAATAATTTTTTGAAATTTTGCAATTTTTTTTTCCTTTCTTTGTTTGCTTTCCCTTTTCTTTTTGCCTGTAGCTGGCCACTAGCCATAGGCTATGTTGGCGAGGGCTAGCCTTGCCTAGATGATGGCAAGCACCAGCGAGGTCTGCCTTGCCAAATCTGGGGTGGTCAACCCTTGCCCAGGCCAAGGCAGCCTCGCCCTCACCTAGGTGGGGGTTGCTAGGCTTCGCCCTCGCCCAAGTGAGGCTTAGTGAGATTGCCCTAGCCTGGGCGAGGGGGGTTCGCCAACGCTTGCCCTCACACAGGCATAGCATAGCCTAGCGAGACAGGGTCTTGCCAACCATTGGCTAAAAGAAAAAGGAGAGGAATAAAAAGGAAAAAAAGAAAAAAATTATTAAAAAAAATTTACACGTCGGCGTCAACTGTGCCACGTAGTATAGCCGGCATCCATACTAGCGATTTTCAGCGTAAATTGGCCGGATGGACTGAATTGGTACCAATGCGAAAATGGTTATGACTAAATTAGTTTCGTTGAAAGCTTTATGATTGAATTAGTACCAATGCATTAGGTTTATAACTTTTTTTTTGCTTGTCATTCATGTAGGTGAGGTATCCACCATGAAATGCAAATTGAGGATTTCAAGATATCAGAATTGCTCAGTTTCGGTACTTTTGGATATTACCGATTTTCGCCATTGTTCCTAAGAACGTTTAGCTGTACGAAGTTTACATTCAGAACGCAATCTCTCGCCAACTCGACTAGAAACCCTTTGAACACAAGCGCCACTAAATATAGAGCTTCCACTTTACTCTTTGTTGGGTTTCATCTATCAACAATATATATCATCTAAATACTGATTTCCTGTAGAAGATCTATGGTGTTAAAATGCTGTCCTACATTGCTTGACAACGGATTTTATATACTTTTTATATACATGTGGTCTTCTTTCACCTATTAGTTTAAACTTTTTTGGGTTATACTTTTTTTAAACATAGTATCAGAGCCAGTTCTATTCCTTTCGCGTATATGCGTCCACCTCTATTAGGCAATTTCATGTGTTGCTCTTAATTCGGTTTGTGTGAAAGGGATGTTGAAATATTGTCCCATGTTACTTGACAACAAGTCTTAATTTGGCTTGTTTGTTAAAGGGATGTTGATATATTGTTCTCCTTCGCTTGATAAATTCTAACACATGGTTTGAATCTTGACCCTTAAGATGAAGTGAGGAAAAAGCAACTTGTATAAATGTCACTGGCCCTTGACCTGTTAGTTCTTTTGAAAAACGCGGATCCATCTTGAAAAATGTTGACTTTAATAACAGTGTCCTCGATCCTGATAAACTCGTCCATTATCAAAGTCAAGAGATATAACCCTTAAGTCGAATCTTGATGTGCACTATTAGTAAGTGCTGTTAGTGATCAATCTACTGACTTTTTTATTATTATTATTTTTAGGAGTATTGGAGGCTGGCCTCTCTTTCACAAATTTGATCTTTAATTCTTCTGTGCAAAGATGTGAAAAGAATATGACATGATTTGAGATTAATGGTCAAGCCCGTCGGGAGAATTCCAGCTCCAATTTCCACTCTACCTGCCCATTTTTGCTTTTCAACATATTGCTCTTGCTTCATTCTCTGGTAGGCCTTTATATATCTTCCGTTATTCTAAAAACTCCATTTAATTGACGAAAAATGAATAATTTGAAAAATATTTTTCTAAAAATAATCGCTTGTTTCGCTTGAAATTATTACTCAACGAAAAATATTTTCATTACCAACAACAATTTATATATAAATATTTTCTTGACCGATGAAAATATTTTTAATTTATTTATTTTTGTAAGCAACACAAGTGATTGTATTTAGGCTACTCATTTTTCACAAAACTAACTCTATCAGTCCTTTTATTCCCTTTATCATTTCCTCATTATTTCAAATTCCTACAAAGCGATTACAATGTGAAAAGTATTGTGGGACTTGGTTCCACACAGATTTTGAGCAAGTAGAGTACGCATGCTTCTAACTATTTTTGTTGTTGTTGTTGATTTCAGTATATACAACTACAAAGTTGTATAATCTCATTAATGTCTTCTTAAAGAGAGGACTTAAAAGAAAAAATTAACTCTTATCCTTTGAGAATAATGAATGTGTTAAACCATTTTCTTTTATCACTCTCTTCAGTGACAAGTATCGTAAAAAGAGTAAGAACAAAGTTGAATTCCTTTTATAAATTTGAATCAAACAGAAAGATAGATATACAAAATGAAAAGATGAATAAAGATAAAACTAAGGCAACATAAAAATAAAACTAAGCCAACCCTTTTGTAGAAAAGTTAAGCTGACTAGAATATAGATCAAAGATAGCAAAAATACATTAGGCTGTTAAGAAATTTAATCGTGGCTCATACATATTTAGTTAACATACATACATAAGTACATACGTACATACATATATATACATCCATGCATACACACATTCATCTAAGAATTGCCTTTTTTCATAAAACATGACTATTCTTTCAAACAATGTCTCTTTCGATATACTTTTAAATAAATAGTGATTTGAAAATCTTTCCCGTTCAAAGTAAGATTTGATTTGTTTATCTATTTATATTATGCTTATAATAACGAAAATTACGAAATGTCCACATCAAATTTAATTTTTTCAATTAAAAAATTTCCTCAATGGTTACAAGAAAAGAAAACACTCACCACCTGACCTTTAATTCGTACAATTTAAGACACCTTTTCACCATTAATTTAAACTAAATTAAGGATATCCATTAACATTTACCTCATTCAATATATATAACTTCGCAATTTTCATCACCCTTTCGCATTAATAATCTATTTATTCTTCATACTAGATAACTCTCTCTCTTTCTCTCTCATTCATGCACATGCGAACATACAACTTTATTTTCATCTATGCTTTCCTTTTATCTAATAATGGTGCAGTATTCACTTATTTCAATGTCTTTATTTGATGATTATGAGTGCACATCCATCTATTTCAATACTATCATTTGAATTTCACCGATGTTTTGTTTGTTAAAATGAATGTTTCTCATTTCACACTGAAAAAAAAACCAATGAATTCATGAAAAGTTTGATAGATAACTGAATCTTGCATTTTATATGATTATGATGAGAAAATATCAGTTTCCTTCTTTTTCATATAGTTCTCCTTTCATATTAAATAAATATTGAAATCCAAATAAAGAATCTTCAATCAAAATGCATCTAGGAACTATAATCAGACAGTAAACACACAACATGAGGTACGTTTTAACTTATCCTGCTAAATTTTGGACTTCTAATGTAAATTAAGCTATAAGATCATCAGAACACTTAAACTCATCTGCTAATAGTCCTAAAATGGTGGAAATTGTAAAATTATCCCAATCCCAGTAATTAGCTTAGTATGACTTGTTTGTCGATGAGGATGAGAATTTTAGTGTCATTTTCCCGTGAATATTATCACATCAATAGTTTTCTGTAAAGTTTTTTCTTATTTTTCAGTGGCTAAGCTAGCAAAAAGCAGCATCATTCTTCTAAATCCAAATTTTAGGAATCTCTTCATAAAATAAATTGGTGATTAATGATAACAATCCATCGCTTTCACCTGTAGTCTTTAACGATTAAATTGCAAATAATTTAGTTTCATATTTATCTTCTTGTCTCTAATGTGTCTATAGGTTCCAATATTGAGTAGCTTGCCACAATTAGATTTTGGAAGTAGCGAATGTCCAAAAATTAGATTATCTATCACAGACCAGAAGTAAAAGTGAGTGCTGATTGGCATATACACACGTACATTAGAACGTAGGTTGCCACTGTATACGTTACAGTATATACCGATATAATATGATGTTCTAGGAAAAACAGTCAGAAAGAATAATATACAAGAAAACAACGTCTACATACCATAACTTACGAACCACACGAGTTCACATGAAGCAAACATAGATCAAAATCTAAGGAATTTGTGACTATTTTTAATACAAATTAGACACACGACAATTTACATTACTAATAAATGTCACATAAGTATCCGACTAGATGCACACTTCCTTATTGCTCAGTGCCTTCCCAATCTTTTCCACTTTTTTGCCATTCTCTTGGAGTAGTGCAAGAACCACCTACTCTTTTCGTCAATGATCACGTTCCCTAGCACAACGCCAATCAAAAACCCGACTCCAGTGCCAATTAGCACAACTTTCCAATTCAAGTCAAATGGAGACTCTTCCCCATTTTCTTCCTCGAGCAATGATGTTGGAAATGGTAAGTTATCCCCAACCTTTGTGCATTTATTTGGTAAAGGACTTCCACACAACCCCTTATTCATGGCAAATGAATGGGTCCCAAATGTGTCGAACTGACTTCCTTGTGGTATTGGTCCCGATAGTTGATTATGAGAGACATCAAAAGATGAAAGAAATGTAAGTTGGGCTAGTTGTTGAGGTATCTCTCCCGAGAGATTGTTCCGAGAAAGATCTAAAGATTCCAGCTTTGTTAGGTTTGCTAAGGAAGGCGGGATGGAACCAGTGAGAATGTTGTTCGAAAGATTAAGCATGAGAAGTGACTTCAAATCTCCAACAAGATTGGGTATGCATCCTTCGAATTTGTTATTGGAGAGGTCAATTCCCATAAGGGCATAAGGAACCTTCGAGTATTCCATTTCTGTGCCTTTATTCATCAGCTTCATTCCATAGGTTGTTTTATACCTATCAACCACTTGCTGAATATCCACATAAATGGTAACTATTGCAGATATGTAGAAGGACGGAGGGAGCCCTGAAAAAGTATACATATATTCCAACCGATCTTGACCAACAATTATTTTCATGGCATGAAAACTCTGCAGTAACTTAGAAGGAAGTTCACCATTGAAACTATTGTTGGAAAGGTCCATGATATGCAAATTGCTGAAGTTGAACTGGCTTCGATATGTTTCTATTGGACCATGGAACATATTGAATTTCAAGATCACAGCTTTCAGCTCAGTCAATACTGATAGCCAGAATGGGGACCCATCAAGAATTTGATTATAACTAAGGTTCAAATACTCTAGCTTTGTACAATTCGCCAAAGATCTTGGGACAGGCCCTTGCAATTGATTCTCTGTGAGGTCAATAATCTTCAACGCACAACCTTTTGGGTAAGCATTAGGAATCATGCCCTCAAGTTTATTTTTCCCAAGACTCAAAAATGACAAAGAACCAATGTTTCCGAGACATGAAGGAATTGTGCCATTCAGACTATTGATGGACAAATCAAGAACGATGAGGGATCTTGCTTTACAAATGGATTGAATTGTCACACCCCGAACTCCATCGAGCACGCGACACACTTTTCTGGTCGATTAACGCGATGTCCCAGGGTATCGCCGACCCAATTTACTTTATCAGAGATTTAAAAACGATCAGCGAAAGCCACTAATACCCGGACAATTAAAGACTGGGGTAATTAAGGAGAATAAACATACTCGTTCCTCATTCAACTTATATAATATTCACAATTTACAAACCGCCATATACATATGCACACCGTACTATAAAACCACCAATATTCAAAACGATTGATGACCTGGGTATTCTATCACCAAAAATGAGACTACTCAAAAAGCCTATTATCAACCCCTCAACCTAGCCCCTACGCCCTCTGCTTGGCGTCCACTCTGAGTCTGATTCTTCGTCGTCTGAATCTGAGCTCCATTGAACAGTCTACTCCTCCGAGGACTCCGGCTCAACCTCAATCTCGATCGGGTGATTTATGTCACCCGACTCCGCTAGAACCTCGTTACGCTCCTCTGAGTCGGACTCCTCATTAGACCCATACTTTGGTACAAATTCGAGGTCAATCCACTGCTCATACGGGGAATGTACACCAGTTCTTCTTCAGGCTCAGCAGGCTCATCCTCAGGTTCCTCCTCTTCTGGTTCTTCCTCTGGGATCGGCTCAAGATCCACATCCATCGGATTGTACCCCGCTTATGATCCTTCGGGCTCTGGTTCTTGCTCGGCCCCCGAAGACTCAGGTGCTGCGGGCGCCGGCTGTAGTCCTGACTGCGCTAGACTAGTCTCCACACTAGTCAACTCGCCATCCGGAAGAGGTATAACAGACGGGTCCCAGTGCCCAACTCCATCAAAGGGGACGTCAAATCCACGGACGGGTCCAAACTCATCTATCCTGTCCCTGAAGAACCAGACGGTGTATGTATGGGCCTGCAAAAGGGGTAACCCTATATCTACCCAAACTACTGAGGTATGCTTTATCCATGTCATATTTTCATCGATCGAAAACTCTACGATATTGTGGTTGGTGTGCACTGGTAACCCAAAACGCTCTGGTGGCAACGGCGGTGGCGGATTTATTGCTCGGGCCGAGGTTCTGAAATTGTTGGTTGAGACAACCATGAGAATACATCTCAGTAAGCGCACACCCTAAACCCCACCTAGGCTATCACGTACCTCCAGACAATCACAACAGACAATCACACTCGGCTATTACACCGCAGGCATTCAATCAATACTTATCTGGGCCTTTCCAGCGTGCAACCTGCACATTAGCCATAATAACACCATTCCACTCACATGCATGTTCTAATTACATTTCATGCATTCATTTCGATCTCATCACTTCTTTTCCATACCACTCGCCAGTGACCCATGTAATGGTACCGCCTCAGGTTCACTGCGACCATCTCACACTTGCCTCGCTAGTGACCCGCGTAATGATACCGCCTCAGGTACACTGCGACTAATTTATAATAACACTTCAAGGCCCGCGTAATGGTACCGCCTCAGGCCGTGTATCTTGCCTGCGTAGTAGTACCGCCTCAGGCTCAACACCTACCACCTACGACACAACCCGCGTAATGGTACCGCCTCAGGTTGGCCATCCTCCGGTAATACCGGGCATCGTCCCGCGTAGTCATACCGCCTCAGGACGGATAAATATCCCCGCGTAATGGTACCGTCTCAGGGATTTCCACAACCACACATACCACACCACACACCATTTCTCGCTCATGCACATGCTCAGCACCCACTTGCCAATAAATTGGCCAATCACACGTGGCCCATGCACGCATCAATTCACACACATTCTCATGCTCATTAAGCATTCAACACGGCCGATTGACAATTAATTCAATTCAGCCCAGGCGTGTGCATAATCAAGCATATTTCAATCAATCAATTGCACACCAATGCACCCAATTTCATCACCACGATTCAACCACAGTTCAAACGCACAACCAACATACAAATTGGCATTTTTCCATATCAAAACCACGGCAAATCAGTTCCGGCTCTTCACGACATTTTCCCACAATTAGTCGCCGGATCTAAATACCTAATTTACATACAGAACCACATTTTCCAGCATTCAAACCAGCAATTTCCAGCATATACTCGGCCTCTAAATTTCCACCAAAATTCCCCAAATTCATTCCTTAGGCCCGCTAATCAATTCCGCCCCTAAAACCATACTAATCCTGTCTAATTTAACCCGATTCCACCTCAATTTTGTCCGTCGATACCCGAAGTCCTAAATAAAGTTTAGGGTGCAACCTACCGAAACTCTAGACTGACTCGGCTAGAGTGGAAAGGAGGAACGGTTGGCCAGCGGCTCACGGCGGTGGCGATCGGCGTACGGCGACGACGGCGGTGGGCTGGACGGCGTGCGGCGGCAACGGCAGCTTGGGCCGGTTCCTCACGGCCACGGGAGAGAGAGAAAGAGAGAACCGAGAGGGTGAAGGGGACGGCGTGAGGGTGGTGGCGCGGTGGCGACACGGCAAACGGGCGGTGCGGCGGTGAGCGGCCAAGGGGGAGAGAGAGAGCTCACGGTGACGGAGGGGAGGCTGAGAGAGAGGAGAGAGAGAGAGCTTTGGGTTTTATAAAGTCAAGGTCAATTATTGGGGGGCAAATGACCATCATGCCCTTTCCTCACAAACCCAATCAACGGTCCAGATTCAATCTTATCTTGAGATCGACGGCCTGGATCAAATCTTTTTCAAAATATCCAAGGGCAATTTGGGAATTTTTTAAAAAGTTCAAGGGCAAAATTGTCCAACTCAAAAGTTAGGGCAAAATGACCAAAATGCCTTTCCCCTTTAATACTTGCCCTTTATAATCCTCCAAGGGTAAAATGGTCACTTTTCCATTTTCTTGCCGAAATTGAATTTTTCTGAAGGATTTGGGCAAATCCGAAGCTATACATTCCAACCACAACGTCGTCCTAACGTCCCGTTGTGACTTCCCAATTTTCCAATGTCCAATTTGGGCTCTAATTAATAATCAAATTTTATTGAACGTAATTCGAGCGTTTCTCAAACTAACGGGCGGCTTTTGGGGAAATTCGCATATTCGACCCGTGACTGATAATAAATCGAGTCACGTGCAAGTTCATTCGGTCCGTGACGACTTCGGTTGTCACTTAATCGCGAGGATCGATCGCTAGATCCGAGGGGCACGATCGTTTGGTATAGGTTTAGGGCCATTCATCAATTCATTTCATGGTCCAGCGAAATCCCCCGAGATCTACTACTATGACAGCGGTGAACTGACCCCTAGCTATCCTTGGATCGGCCTACAGTGGCTCAAAATGTCACCTCGACGATTTTATGGTCGAAAATCAATTCACGATCGAATTTTCTTTAGTCGCACGAATTTAAATCCCTAATTAGCCTTTCCCTATTGGTTAGTATCCCAGGAATGATCAGTTCTAGGCTAGAACTGACTACGAGTACGTTCATAAAACCAAGCATTTCATAAATCCCAAATAGGCAAATTTCAGGATGTCACAACTATTGAATTTCTCTGAAGAGGAAGTTATTGGAGATATTGTAATAAATCACTGATAGAGGTGGACTAGGGAGTGTTGTTTTGAGCAAGTTAGAACTAATGTCAAAGTACTTCAACTTGGGTAGTGGTAGATTAATCTGGTTGTTCACAAAGCCAGTTACAAAATTGTGAGAAAGATCAATATACTTCAAGGTCTCTCTACTACCATTCCACATCCATGTAGGAATACTCCCTTCAATGTTATTGTGTGAAAGACTTAACCTCTCTAATCCGCTTAGGTAGCCTAAAAACTTTGGGAACTCATGTAAGTTGCATGAATCTAAAGCTAAAGTGGAAAGCTTTGGAAGAGTGGCATTGATCTTGGTCTTGCTGACAAAAGATATGTTGTTGAAGTCCAAATATAATGTTGTCAAGTTCTTGAGTTCATGTATATCCACAATGCCACTCAAATTATTCCAACTAAGATCAAGAAATTCAAGATCCTTGAGTTTGTGTAAATCCACTATGCCACTCAAATTATTCCCACTAAGATGCAAATATTCAAGATGCTTGAGTTCCCCTAATGAGTTTGGAATTTCACCTTGCAAATTGTTGGATGAAATGTCAAGCACAACCAATCGCGTCAAATTCTCAAATGAAAACTGAATCGGACCACTTAGTTGAACATCTGCCAAATGTAAACAGACAAGACTCGTTAATTTGGCCGCTGATTGAATCTCATTATTTGTCACGCCCCGTACCCCACGAAGCTTGAGCATCCCACCTTCGATCGATAAATTGCGACGTCCCAGGAAGAGTCGCCGACCCACGCCCATACAGAGATCAAGCACAAGCGGAAGTATAAAATAAACAAACCCAGACAATTACAATATGAGCCAAGGATAGCCATCCAATAAACAAGATTCAACGCAGAAAATATGTACATACTTATATTACTATTTTAAAACTCTTTTTACAGTGTTCACGACAACCAAAAAGGAAACACCAACAGCTGGGAATAACCCAAACAGCCACTTCTCCGTTATGCTCCATCCCCACCGGGGTGCATGCTCGACGACTGCTGGATAAAAGGCGGTATTCCCAAAAAGAGGTGATGCCCTCGACATTCTACGGCTGGGGGTCTGAAATGTTTCGGTTTACACAACCGTGAGACGAATCTTAATGAGTTCAACCCCTAAACCTAGGCTAGGCTAGCATGCAATCTCCTGACCGGAAACAAACATTTAAAATCATAACACAACCATAATCATACAATTCTCTGACCCTGCAGGTTAGATAGTTCAATATGTAATAATCACGGGACATACGTGGCACACATTATCACACGTACGCCAATCACATGCTCATACACCGAGTCTCACACACTCGCATGCCATTCAATGCATGTTTATGCATGCAAATGTCATTGACATGTCATGCACATTTCTTTGGCCCTGGCCCACACCGGCACACTTGCCCAATTAATTATTATTACGACTCGAGTCATCAATTTTTCACGGCCCGGTGCGTCTAGCCTGCTTCAAAGTGCATGAGGCGCAGCATCCGATCTGGCCCAGTGTCTCTAGCCTGCTTCAAAGTGCATGAGGCGCAACACTTTGTTCTCCTTGCGAACAGGCAGCCCGCTTCAAAGTGCATGAGGATGGTCGCCTTCCGGACGTACCGGGCATCGTCCCGCTTCAAAGTGCATGAGGACGGTATCGACCCGAAGGTCCTTAGGTGATCACACGGCTCATTATTATCCGAACCCGGCGTATAACGCTTCGGGGTATTTTAGGTGATCACATGCTCATGGCGAGACACGCATTCTCGCACAATTTTCATCACATGCCTCACTCTTGGCATACGTAATGCGTGTCCATGTTATGCAATGCAATGAACCACGAGCACCAATATAATTGAACAACCGGGCATACCGGCAATTTCACCGATGAACTCCTAAATTGGTCATTAAACCTATTATCCTCCCCAACGATTCTCATTAATCCACTAAATTTTTCCGATAATAAATTCTACTAATCGGTCCTCAACCCGAGTCTCAATTACACTTGCTATTATCTAAGCCGGTCCAAAATGCCCAGATAACACCTAAACCGGTCGAGAAAAACGCAACATCGTCCTAATCCGGGTTTAGGAATTTTACTCACCAAAACAAGGGTCACGACGACGGGAATGGCGGCCGATCACGTGAACAGTGAAAGCCGGCGGCGGAATTCCCGGCCCGGACGGCAGCGCGGTGTACGGACGGGGAACGGTAATTCCGTGCGGACGCGTGGAAAGCAGTACCACCCCGTATGGACACATCGTACGGACGACCGGGAACGGTGGCCGGGAGGCGCCGATCACGGCGGCGACGGCCGTACGGGTCCGGATGAATAGTGATCGTACGGACGGTGAACGATGGCAAAACTGCACGGTCACTGTACGGACGGGAGTGAACGGCGACGTATGGACGTCTTTGGAGGCACGGGTGTCGACGGGCAGCGATCGGAGCTCGTGAAGCTCGTGATCTTGTTCACTGCGAATGGAAAATGAGAAAAAGAGAGAAAAAGAGAGAGAAAAAGGAGAGAGAAATTGACGGAACCGAGGCTGAGCTGAAGCGGGGGACCAAGGGGGTCGACGGTGAGGCACGGCGGTCGGCGGCGTGCTCCGGCGAAGCTCCGGCGAGAGAGAAAATGAGAGTGAAAATTTGAGAGAAAAATGAGAGAAAGTGAGGGGAAAATGGAGAGAAAATTTTTCTGAAGGCTGGTCTGGTCGTGGGAGTGAGAGAGGAGAGAGAAAAAATGCTTATCTTAGTCAAAAACTAGGGTCTAGGCTGCCATGTGTCAAAAATCAAGCCAATGGACAATTTTGCCCTTGATCCAAAGGCTAGGATTTGCCCTAATCTAATAATTTAGGGGTGAAATGGTCTTTTGCCCCTAACCATGGTTGACCAGACCTGGTTTAACCTTAACTCACCTTGGTTAATCCCAAAATTAAATCCAATTTTCGGAATTAATCAAAAATGGCCTAGGGGCATTTTCGTAATTTTCCAATCCCGAACCGAAATTCCAATTTTCGCACATACGCGTTCCATATATGCGTGGCCAACATAATATGGCGTCGGAATCGCGAAATTCATCGCGCAAGCCCTCGAAAATCCACGTCAAAGTGTCGGGAATAAAATAATATTATTTTTCAAATTTTTGTCGAAATTCCAGTTTTTGTCCAAAACGACTCCTGGTATGCGTGGCCACCCAAAAATGGCGTCGGCCACGAAAAATAACCTCATTTGGCCTCGAAAAGCGACGCTGGCATCCCGGGGGCAAAATCGTAATTTTTCACCCCGGACCGAAATTCCAATTTTTACTCGTACTAACTCCACATGTGAGTGGCCAGCGTAATATGACGTCAGATTCCCAAAAATAGTCTCTTAAGCCTTTGAAAATCGATATCGAAATCCGGGCCCAATTCCGTGAACAAAACCCGCTAAACTTTCAATTTCAGAGTCTCTCACTAACGGGTGGCTGTTTAGAGGTTACGCGTATCGACCTAAGGCTATTCGTATCGTGATGGTCTCGATCATTGAGAGAATGAGAAATTATCATTAGTTCCGGAGAGGTCACAATCATTAGGTTCAAGTTAGGATTTGGTTGACCACGTGCACTTTTGGTCTTGCTGAGAATCACTGCGTCCCAATCGTACATCGTTGGCCTTGGCCAAACCAAATCCGTTACCTTTCCTAAGATCGGCTCACGTTGGCCCAAAATATTTCCTCAGAGTCTCTCGTGATCGGTATCCCTTTCGCGATAGGGTCCCCGGTCCACGTACCATCTTCTAGTTAGCCATACCCTATTGGTTAGTATCCCGAGAGTGATCAGCTCTGGGTGAGACTTACTAAAATGAAATGCGAAATAATATCAGTTTCATTGATCCCGGAAATTACATCGAAATTCGGGCTGTTACATTATTTCTTTCTCTCTCTTTTTTTTTGAAAAAACAAAAATAAAGGCCTTGCTAGCTGAATATTACCTGAAAGGTACAAATAGATGAGCTTTCCCAAGTTGACAAGTCAAAGCGAAATATCACCGCTGAAATTATTGATACGGAGATCTAGGTATAATAGCTGCGTGAGGTTAGCGAAGGAAGTAGGGATTCGACCCTGAAATTTACTTAATGATATATCCAAAACAGCAAGCTGAGAAAGATTACCCAATGAAGTGGGAAGTGAACCCGAGAAATCACAATCCCCAATTGATAATACATTCAAGAAAACATGGTTTCCAATGGAAATAGGTATTTCTCCTGAGAAATTCGTCCCCCAAAGAATTAATGATTTTGAGGAAAAACCCCACTATTGTTCTGGAATCAAACCATAAAGGTTGTCATTAAAACTTATGTCGAGGAATTCGAGGTTTGGTAATTGAAAGATGCCTATCGGAAATTCTCCATGCCGTCCACAATCTCTTAGTTTAAGCAACTTCGAGGAGAAGTTTGCAAGCACATGAGGGAATGGTGATGGCATGCTTATAAAAGAGAGATCAAGTTCCCTAAGCCTAGTTAAGTTCTGAACAAAGTTGTCTATGTTGGGCATCTCGAGACGCCACCCAGAAGACAAATCAAGAGGTACGTTGGGATCCCACCCAAAAGACAAATCAAGAGAAATTAATCTAGATAGCCGTGGGATATCCAAGGGGACTTTTCCAGAAAAAAGTGCAAATTGGAGAGATTAAAGTATTGTAACCTGGAAAGATTGCCGAAACCATATGGGATTGAAGAAGAGCTGAAGTCATTCCAAGCAAGATTGAGCGATTCCAAATGGAGTAGGCAAAAGAGACTGCCGTTGGAAGTTATGGTACCAAAGAGACAGCTGCTACAAAGGTCAAGGCCTATCACATGACCAGTGGTCTCGTCACACTGTATGCCATCCCATGAGAAGCAATCTCCATGTCCATCTAGAGACCATGATTCAACCTTCGGATAAACACAAAGAAAATCTACTCTGGTGGTTTGAAAACTTCTCTTAAATTCCATCAAGGCAGAGCTCTCATCCGGATGGCATAGTGGCGTAGCAAGTGAAGTATGAATCATCAGGAGAAGGATGATCCGGGTAACAAGCGCATAGAGTAAGGATGCCATAATTTTTTTTGTTTTGGTTGCTGGAGTCGGTTCACGTATGCGAGGTAAAGTGCGATTGAGAAGCTTTTATAGACAGCAATAACCGGTCGCATTCAATGGAAGTTCGCACTACTTGCATCTCTTGTTATATGTGAAAAGAGGCATTCTTACATTGATCATTGATAACGTCTCTGTCTTTGATATGAACCGTGTACCAAAAAATAGCATGATCCAAACATGGATCTTGAAGAAACAAAATCACGCGTTGTCCATTTAAATTATCCAATACATCCTCTTTTTCTACTTTTTTAGTTAAATCTTGCACTTGTAATTGCTTCACAGAAACAACAAGGTGTTGGTTTAGATGGTTAGACGGTTTGCTCTATCTCCTTGTGGTCTTGGATATCAAGCCTTTCTGGGAGCCCTCTAGAATAAAATCTTAAATGCACCGGGTCAATATAAGAGAGGGCGCCCTTACGATCACTCAGGGAAGTGAACTAATCAAGGTGCGCGAAAATTGCCCCATCCCAAATACCACTTCATTTCCAAATTTAAAATAAAAAAAAAGTTGCATAGAGGTGATT